AAGGAAGGCGGGGAAAAAGAGGAGGAGGAGGAGGCTCGACCCAGGCCCCGCCGATTCGCCTCAGCAGCTGCGGTCAAGCCCGGGCCCGCCTTCGCCGCAGCGTCGAGGGAGAGGCCCGGGCGGCAGGCCTCGCGGTCGCCATGGCAACCAGCTAGGCCGCAGGGCGGTCCGCCCGCTCCTCGGGCCTCTTTTCCTAAGCTGGTGGCAACCCGGGAGCAGAGGAGGCGCCTCTTTATTTTATTTTATTTTTAATTTGGCTTATTCCGCCCTTTCTTCAATGTTACTTTCGGGAGGACTACGACTCCCAGAAGGCCGCCCGCCAAGCCCGGCCAAGGGCTCTTTTAGCCTGGTTGGCGAATGGCTTTCTGGGAGTCGTAGTCCGAACGGGCTTCGCGCGCTCCCTTCAGCCTCCCAGGCCTAAAAGGCTTGTTGACCAATCAGAAGCCATGGGGGGGGAGAGAGAGCGAGAGCGCGCCTCGTGCAGTCGCTTCGGGGGCGAGCCTGGGTGCCCTTCCCCCCCTTTTTTCTGTGCGGGGTGTGTGTGTGTGCGGGGTGGGGGGAAAGGTTTGTTTGAAAAGATGGTGATCTTAGCGAAGAAATTTGCCCTCTTCCAACATGGCGGGCGCGGCTTCAGGGGCCCGCTCCGACTAACTCGACGCGCCATTGGAGGGCGCCACCAGCAAGGCGCGGTCTGATTGGTTAGGGAGGGAAGCGGGGTGGGGAAGGCTAGGTGCGGGGATGCGTTAGTGAGGCGAGGGGAGCCAGCCTGCGAGGAGGTCCTTTTTTGCCTGCAAGGAGAGAAGGGGGGGAAGAAGGAGGAAAAAAAGGCGTTATCCTTCCTTTGCATCCTCTGGCAACCCTACCTGGGAAGCATAGGTGAGGATGATGGGGCGTGGGATGATGGAGGGGGGCTCTTTGGGAGGACCAGGAACGCCTGAAGCTGATCAGCCACCACCCTCTCGACTACCTTGCTTAAGAAAGAGACATTGGCGACGGGCCTATAGTTGCCAATTTCGTCCGCCGCCAAACTAGGTTTCTTGGGGGTCCCCATGGGGGTGCGATCCTGCCCCCCCTTCCTGCTCACCCCCAAAGAATGTGGCTCCTGATGGCTTCTGGCATCTCCAGGGGAGGGGTCGTGGTTAAAAAAAAAGGTGTCCAATGAATGGGGAAAGTGGGGAGGGATGGAGGGAGGGGGGGTCTCGCCTTCAGCTCTTCATCCCCCCCTTCCCCACACTTAAATCCCCCCCCTTTCCTCAAACTGAGCCAGGGCTTGTGCCTTGCCCCCCCCCCCCGCCTTGGGGCTGGGCTCCTGCCAACCCC